AATTATAAACTAGAAAAGATGTAATCGAATAAGGAAATGTTGTCATAATGAAATGAACCTTTAAAGTATGGTTATTGATAATATTTCTCATATAAACAGATTGTGATTGTGCTGTTTGTGGGTCTTGAGCTTGTGTGGACTCTTGGCTTAGATAGTTAGCTTGCAAGGTAAGCTTTTGTGTCCTCGGTTTAGCCATATTGTGGTTCCACCATGTCCCATGGGGGTATGGTTATATGCATGTTGTGTTACATGCTTTTGATGTTTTGGAAATGCTATTGAGTTGTTATATGCTAGTGCCTTGTTGATATGCATGTGGTGTTCCACCTATACGTTAAGCTTGAGTATGTGGTACATACAATATGGTGAGGCTGTGGGTGAGATGCAAGCGGTGTTCCTTGTACTATATGTAGGTAATAGATGTATTCCTACATTTCTCTGGCCAGTAGAATAGTTAAACACACATGGCATGAATATCTGTTGCACTGCATTGAGTTTTGGAACTTATATTGAATTACTGCTTTTAGAACTTATATTGCACATGTAAGTGAGCTTGGGGTAGAAGATCCTTGAGGACCCCTTGTCTTACTGAGATTTTTGGTTTAGAGATCTCACCCCACGTTTGGGGAATGCTTATTTCAGGTTCAGGTAATGCGAGGGTTGAGACCTCTAGTGGCAGGAGGCCAGAGCTTAGCTGATAGATGTTACATGTTTATGCTGCTTATGTTGACATGCTGTTATGATTGGATGCTGGATCCTATTTACTGTCTTATGCTTTTAGCTTCAATTTATGAATTTCTCTGTTGAGACTTTGTTGGTTATGTTGTTGATTTGGTGAGCATGGGGATTCTGCATGCCACATAGACTTGATTATGTGTTGTTTTATGTTGGAGTTGTAATAATGTATCAGGATTTTTGTCCGGACTACGTGTAGTGGATCCGTGACGTAGATACTCACTTTATCTATATTATGAGGTATTTCAGTTAGATGTCTATTTTCAACTTACATACAGGCGATATTTTATGAAAATGATTAAGAAATCAACTTGGCTAAGTATAATGACATCATAATTGAAAAGAAAAAGATATTCTGCATTTTTGATTAAGCGCAGCTTAATACAATGATATGTTAACAAACTGGGTATACACGGGGTGTTACAGTAGGAGACATACAATAGGGTAATTTTGTGGGTGGGTGTAAGTAGAGACTTGCACTGATTGTAGGTAATAGACGTATGTAAATCCTGCATTTCTCTGGCCTGTAGAATAGTTGACACATATGACATGATTATTCTGCTGCATTGCACTGATTTTGGAACTTATGTTATATTACTGCTTTTGAACTTATATTGCACATGTAAGTGAGCTTGGGGTGGAGAAATCCTTGAGGACTGATATGCCTCTAGCATGTATATGATTTTTAGCAAAAATAAGAAAGAAATCTTGATTAATCTTGGAGAAAAAGGGCTAGAATTACTATTAATTTAAAGAAGAACTTGAGGCGCATAAGATTGTTCTTGCTAAGGAAAAAAAGAATGTAGTCTTTGAAGTTCCTGAAAAAGCAGATGATTACAAAGAAGATGGTACCTCAAAAGTGAAATTGAAGGATCTTCCTCAAACTCTAAAAGATGATGTCAAAGAGGTGAGGACTCTTCAAAGGAGGCGTAATCCTACAAAGAAGAAGGCAATGAGAAAGGAAGTGGTGAAACTCTTTGATACGAGTTGGAAAAGACACCGGGAGCTGAAGTTTGACAAGAGACACCGAGACTTTATCTCTCGGAAAAATTAATGCTTCAAAGAGTTCTTAACATGGCTTCAAAGAGTTCTTAATCTGGCATAACATTGCATAGGTATAATTGGTTTACATGATTGCTCGTTTTCCTGAACTGATGTTGTGAAATTTTGATAATGTCTGAAGTCAATTTTCTTGAAGTCTATATTGATACCATAGTTGTGAAGTTTGAGCTTAAACACTGACTTTTCTTGTTGAGAGACCTCACTGTTGTAACACTCTAGAACTTGATCTATTTCTCTGTTATGCATGCATTGGTTGAAGTGATAAAGGCATTTTGTTCTTGTTAGCTATTGGCCAAAATAATCCACCTGTATGAAATTTTTCCATTGCTAGCCCCTTGAGCCTGAACTTAATTTTGTTGATAAATGACATGTGCCTTATTGATGGCTTAGCCTATATCGATGTGACTCACCTTGATTAAGATTGAATTACTGATTTGTTGAAAATAAAATAAAGAAATTGAGGTAAGCTCCACAGAGGTCAAGTAATTAGGGGATGTAAATTTCATTTGTGCCCTTAAAAAAAAAGAAAAAAAAAAAGCAAGAAAAAGAAAAAAAAGGTGAATGTGCATAAAAGGTGTTTGGAAAGAATTAATTCCCGAGATTCTGTGGGAATGTTAGTGGAGCAAAACCATTGAGTTGAATGTGTTAAAGTGAAATAACATCTGTTTTTCAATTTCATTGTTGTTTGAGCTACCGTCCATATATTCCTACCATTTAACCCGGCCAAGTTACAACCTGTGAAGTCCTTTTGATCAATTGATGCATGTGTTTGATTCTTCATTTTTAAGAATTTTTGAGAATATTATCAAGCTTATGGTAGTGTTATAGCTGTGATTGATTGAGTGCTCATGATACCCTTAAACACTGAGTGTTGAGTGGACTTTATTTATTTGTGTGAGGGGTAATCTATGTAGACTTGTATCTTTAAGTAGCTGATGACATTGTTAGGAGTTTATGATATTGGGTCAGGCATGCAAGGCATATTGTGTCTGAGAGTGTCTATGGATTGTTATGTTGTATTAATTGAATATGTCCTGGATTGAGTCTTGTACATCGCTGGGGACAGCATCGTTTAAATCTGGGAATGATTTGATATGCCTCTAGCATGTATATAATTTTTAACCAGAATGAGAAAGAAATCTTGATTAATCTTGGAGAAAAAGGGCTAGAATTACTATTAATTTGATAAATCTCAACCAAAGATTGTTCAACTGATTTCCTTCTAATTTTGTAGGAAAAGAAGACAAAACTGGAGCCAAATGGAGACTTGCCAAAATGAAGATCCACGCCAATAGCGTGGATTTCACGCTGATGGCGTGAAGAACCAGAGACTCCCACGCTCATAGCGTGGAGGTCACGCTGATGGCGTGAAACCATTCTTTCTCCCACGCTCATAGCGTGGATTTCACGCTGATGGCGTGAAGCTTCAGAGGCAGCCACGCTCTTGGCGTGGAACTGGCGCTGAGAGCGCCAGTTTGCGAAAATCACAGCTCGTGCTCTTCAAGAGGGTAATTTTGGAAGATGAAAAAGAAGGTTATAAAAAGGAGGCTCACCACAGAATTAAGAGCTATTCTGGACCTAAGGAGACCGTCGTGCGTCAGAAGGAGAGCTCCGGAGAGAAATTCTTTTTCTTTTTCTTTTTCTTTTTCTTCTTTCTCTTTTATTTTATGTTTTTATGAATATTGGATTTTTAGCCATGATTATGTTTGGCTAGTTTACTTTTTATTGTAGTTAGGGTCACAAACCCTATGTGAACCCTTGTTACGACGGATTGGTTTACTTTTACTCGTTTATATAAATTATCTTTATCTTTACCTTGTGCGTATTTTATATCTTCTTTGTTAGACTTGATCAATCTAATAGTTGAGGATAGTTTGAGGGTTAGAACCCTAGATAGGAATATTGGGGTTTTCATCTTGAAAGGGGGTAAGATAACAATTACTATGCATTCTAGGAATAGATGTATATTTAATTGCAGATGCTTAAATTATTGAGTTCATTGCTTAATTCTCATGAGGGGTTACTAAGGAATTAGGATTCCAATTGAGGTTAAAGGGTTAAATTGTCAAGGGATTGGAATTTAACTAATTATTTCTAGATAATAATTTATCTGAGTAATTATATAATTGAATATTGTAAATCAATCGAAAGTAATAAGTGGGGATCATAAGGTGAGTGCGCTCTGGCTACAATGCTTTTCTCATTTTTTCACAAACCAATTCTTATTTTTATTGTCTATTTCTCATAAGCAAAAATTGCAAAAACAAGTCTTTATTTTCAGTTCTCAATTTCACATAATTCGACAATATTTGTCACAACTTTTGAACTCTTCCATTCTTAAAAGGAACAATTAATTGATATTCGACCCAATCCCTGTGGAGACGATACTTTACTTACTATCTATAGTACTTGTGCGATCGGTATACTTGTCGGTGAACATCAAGTTTTTGGCGCCGTTGCCGGGGATTGGTGTATCTTTTATCAATTAATTTTGATTTTTAAGATTGGTTTTTTATTTTATTTTTATTTTTGAAATTCTATGTGATTCTTGAACAGAGCTACTAATCCCTTTTATGAGGTGTATGCGAGGTAAAGAGCCGGAATTTCCACTTGACTTGGAGATTACAAAAACAGAAAAGAGGAACAGAAAATTTGCTCGGAAGAAGCTTGAATTCGACGAGTCAGAAATTCTGTCTGAAAAAACACGCAAGATGGCAGGGAATAATGAAGCGGACAATCCACTCATGGACACCATTCTGACGCCACTATTTAACAGGCCCAATTCAAGTATTGTCCATTCTGAAGTTGGCAACAATAATTGGGAGCTCAAGTCTGATAATATTCGACTGGTGGAGAGAGCTCAGTTTGGTGGAGAGGATGATGAAGACCCTCATAGGTTCATAAACAGATTCCTGATGATCTGTGACTCGACTAAACATCCTCAAGTGTCCAATGATGCAGTCCGGCTGAGACTGTTTCCTTTTGCTCTTAAAGGAAAAGCGTTGAATTGGTTGGAGAGGCAACCTGCGAGAAGTATTCCCTCATGGGAGAATTTATCAAACAAGTTCTTTGCAGAGTTCTTTTCGATGGAAAGATACAATCAAATGGTGAATGATATCACCAATTTCACTCAAGCTGAGGGTGAAACTATGTGTGCAGCCTAGAATCGGTTCAAAGATCTAATGAGGAGGTGTCCTCATTACCCCATGACTAATGGTGATCAGGTCCAGATCTTCTTCAACTGTTGTAAACCGGAAATCCGGATGGTTCTGAATGGTGCAGCGGGTGGCACGATCAAATCCCTAAGAGCAAATGAGACTCTTGAGTTGATCGAGAGGATGGCTGCCAACGAAAACCAAGGGTTGTCAGCAAAGCCTAAGAGAGGTATCCTTCAACTGGAAGGTAATGGTGTTGTGCTGGCTGAAAACAGTTTATTATCTCAGCAAGTAGCAAACTTGACATCAAGGCTTGAGAAGATGCAGCTTGCTGGTGTTCAGACTAAAGTTGTTGCCATTGTGTGTGAATACTGCCAGGACAATCATGAATCTAATGAATGTCCTACTTTGCTGTCTTCTGATCCTCCTCAACAAGTGCATGTTAATGGTGTTTGGTATGATCAAAGACCTCAGCCACACAACATTCCGAGGACTCAGAATTATCCTTCTGGAGGCAATAATTTTCGGAGGAGAGTACAAGGAACTGGACTTGATTTCAAGTCTAATAATTATTTGCAGCCTCCACCAATTCCAGCTAAAGAACCTTCTGAGTTAGAGAAGCTAGTTGGACAAATGGCCCAACATTCAAATGCTTTTATGGAAGAGACTCGAGCAAATACCAAGAATACACAGGCTTCTATCAGAAACTTGGAGAATCAAATTGGCCAGCTGGCCAAACAAATGGCTGACAGAACTCCTGGTACCTTCCCTAGTAACACATTTACTAATCCCAAGGAGGATTGTATGTTTGTCACCACTAGAAGTGGTAAAGTGGTAGCAGCTCCAGAAAAGCCGAGCAAAAATGTGGAAGCTAATGAGAAGCTTAAGGCAGTTGAGGAGCCAGAAAAAGAGGTGGTGATTCCTTCTGATGTTGAGACACCTCTTCAGAAAGGTGAAGAAAAAGAGCCACCTATTGTTGCTAAAAAGAAGAAATTTGAGCTGAGTCCTGAATATGTGAGAGCCATGGCACCTTATCCTGACAGATTCAAGAAGGAGGATCAGAAGCAACAATATGGAAGGTTTCTTGATATATTCAAGAAGTTACATGTGAACATACCTTTTGCTGAAGCTTTGGCTAACATGCCAAACTATGCCAAGTTCATGAAGGACTTGTTGTCAAGAAAACATAAGCTGCAGGAGTGCCAGACAGTAACACTCACTGAGGAGTGTAGCACTATCATTACGAAGAAGTTTCCTCCTAAGCGTCATGATCCAGGGAGCTTCAATATTTCTGTTGAAATTGGTAACACCAAAATTGGCAGGGCATTATGTGATCTAGGGACTAGCATTAATTTGATGCCCCTTTCTGTTTGTAATTCCTTGGGGATCACCGAGTTTAAGCCTACTTTGGCATCTCTTCAACTTGCTGATAAGTCTGTAAGGAAGCCTAGTGGAATAATAGAAGATGTTCTTGTGAAGGTGGACAAGTTCATCTTCTCTGCTGATTTTGTGGTGCTGGACATGGAAGGGGGAGCTGAGATGCCTCTTTTGTTGGGTAGACCTTTCTTAGCTACATCTCGTGCCATGATTGACGTTGAGAATGGGAAGCTAGAGTTAAGGATGAATGATGAGTCCATTACCATCAATGTCTTTGACTCTATGAAACAATCTTCTGGCAAAGGCGATTGTTTTAGACTCGAGCAAGTGGGAAAGGAAGAAAAATCTTCTAGTCAAGAGCTTGATGAAGAACTTGAGGTGCATAAGATTGTTCCTGCTAAGGAAAAAAAGAATATAGTCTTTGAAGTTCCTGAAAAAGCATATGATTACAAAGAAGATGGTAACTCAAAAGTGAAATTGAAGGATCTTCCTCAAACTCTAAAAGATGATGTCAAAGAGGTGATGACGCTTCAAAGGATGCGTAATCCTACAAAGAAGAAGGTAATGAGAAAGAAAGTGGTGAAACTCTTTGATACGAGTTGGAAGAGACACCGGGAGCTGAAGTTTGACAAGAGACATCGAGACTCTATCTCTCGGAAAAATCAATGCTTCAAAGAGTTCTTAACATGGCTTCATGGTTTGGAACAAATCTGGGAATGGTTGTCTCATACACCAAAGCATCCAGTACCACCAGATCCTCCATTTGCTGAGTCATCCCACGCTGCTGAAGGGGATGACATAGAGGGTTGATTATATCTCCTTGCTGACGGAGATTTTTTATATTAGTTTATTTTTCTGTTTCGTATTTTATTTTTTTTAGTTATCTTGTGTTGGTATATCTCTTTCTGATTTTTTAATGTGTGCATTATAGTTTATCCTATATGCCACTGTTTGTTCCATTGTGCAGGTTTTTCTTCTTTCTTGTGGTTTAATTATTGCTGAGGACAACAATTCTCTAAATCTGGGAATGGTAGGCTTGCATCTTAGAACTGCTGCAATTCTTCTATCAGGGGAGATATTCTAACTCTTTTAATTTTCTTAGTTATTTTTGTAGTATTTTGTGTGCCTTTGATTTAAAAAAAAAAATAGTGATCTGTTTTTCAAGCAATTCTAAGGTTTAAATGTGCTTATCTAGTTAATGTGCTTGACTAAATTCTTGGAAGTATATTGTATGACTTTCTGGCATAACATTGCATAGGTATAATTGGATTACATGATTGCTCGTTTGCCTGAACTGATGTTGTGAAATTCTGATAATGTCTGAAGTAAATTTTCTTGAAGTCTATATTGATACCATAGCTGTGAGGTTTGAGCTTAAACACTAACTTTTCTTGTTGAGAGACCTCACAGTTGTAACACTCTTGAACTTGATCTATTTCTCTGTTATGCATGCATTGGTTGAAGTGATAAAGGCATTTTGTTCTTGTTAGCTATTGGCCAAAATAATCCACCTGTATGAAATGTTTCCATTGCTAGCCCCTTGAGCCTGAACTTAATTTTGTTGATAAATGACCTGTGCCTGATTGATGGCTTAGCCTATACCGATGTGACTCACCTTGATTGAGATTGAATTACTGATGTGTTGAAAATAAAACAAAGAAATTGAGGTAAGCTCCACAAAGGTCAAGTAATTAGGGGATGTAAATTTCATCTGTTCCCTTAAAAAAAAGGAAAAAAAAAAAGCAAGAAAAAGAAAAAAAAAGGTGAATGTGCATAAAAGGTGTTTGGAAGGAATTAATTCCCGAAATTCTGTGGGAATGTTAGTAGAGCAAAACCATTGAGTTGAATGTGTTAAATTGAAATAACATCAGTTTTTCAATTTCATTGTTGTTTGAGCTACCGTCCATATATTCCTACCCTTTAACCCGGCCAAGTTACAACCTGTGAAGTCCTTTTGATCAATTGATGCATGTGTTTGGTTCTTCATTTTTAAGAATTTTTAAGAATATGATCAAGCCTATGGTAGTGTTATAGCTGTGACTGATTGAGTGCTCATGATACCCTTAAACACTGAGTGTTGAGTGGACATTATTTATCTGTGTGAGGGGGTAATCAATGTAGACTTGTATCTTTAAGTAGCTGATGATATTGTTAGGAGTTTATGATATTGGGTCAGGCATGCATGGCATATTGTGTCTGAGAGTGTCTATGGATTGTTATGTTGGATTAATTGAATATGTCCTGGATTGAGTCTTGTACATTGCTGGGGACAGCAACGTTTAAATTTGGGAATGATTTGATATGCCTCTAGCATGTATATGATTTTTAGCCAAAATGAGAAAGAAATCTTGATTAATCTTGGAGAAAAAGGGCTAGAATTACTATTAATTTGATAAATCTCAATCAAAGATTGTGAAACTGATTTCCTTCTAATTTTGTAGGAAAAAAAGACAAAACTGGAGCCAAATGGAGACTTGCCAAAATGAAGATCCACGCTAATAGCGTGGATTTCACGTTGATGGCGTGAAGAACCATAGACTCCCACACTCATAGCATGGAGTTCACGCTGATGGCGTGAAACCATTCTTTCTCCCACGCTCATAGCGTGGATTTCACGCTGATGGCGTGAAGCTTCAGAGGCAGCCACGCTCTTTGTGTGGAACTGGCGCTGAGAGCGCCAGTTTGCGAAAATCACAGCTCGTGCTCTTCAAGAGGGTAATTTTGGAAGATGAAAAAGCAGGTTATAAAAAGGAGGCTCAGCACAGAATTAAGACCTATTCTGGACCTAAGGAGACCGTCGTGCGTCAGAAGGAGAGTGTAAGAACCTGCACCGTTAATTAAGGAATTTAATTAATTAATTATGCAAAATTAGGAAATGATTTCATAATTGACCCTAATAATTATTATGAGGCTTTAATAATTATAGTAAGTGAGTATTAATGCTGAAAGTCGCTTTTCGGAAGAAAAGTGCAGATACCAGTTCTGCTAGTCGGTATAAATGCGTACCGAAAAAGTATCCCGGAAAATTAATGTAAGTGCATGATAATTACTAGAATAATATGTAGGACTTGTAAAACGAGTTTCAAGTCCAGATAATGAGAATTAGTGCTGGAAACCGGTACTGGCTTGGAAAAGCGCGTACCGGAAAAGTGCTCAGAAAATTATAAGAAAAATATGATAATTCTTGGAAAAATGTGTAGTTTCAGAATCCAGAGTTTGGGATTAAATTGCTAAGCGTAGAAATTAAAGTTAATACTGTGTGTTAATTGGGTAAGTGGTTATAAATACTCTAATCATTGGGCACAAAACCCTAGATCAGATTTCCTACGTGCCTCCATTTTCTGAAACACCTCCAGCCACCCTTTGTCACCTTCTCCTCCATTGTGGTGAGCCAAGGAGCTTCCTTTCTCCTTGGTTTCTTCTCCAAATACTTTGAGGCTTGTGAGAGCTTGCTTGGTGTGGGAGTGTGAAGGCTTTTCTGAGTTCTTGTCACTGTGAGTGAGGTGGAGAGGTTCTGAGTTTGTAAGTTGAGTGTGTGAGCCTTAGTTATGGCATTTTGAGGTCCAAGTGGTGACCTTTGGTGAGAAGGAACCAACCTTTGTGAAGGCATTTTCGTTTTGGTGTCAAGTCAGAACTTTGGGAGCTGGTTGTGAGCTCCAAGAGCAGTCCTTGCCTCTGTTTTGAACCCTTGGTGAGTTGTCTATCCTTGATCATGTGTTTTGATGGGTTAAAGGTGTGATCTTTGCATGTTTAAAGGGTTAATCAAGTAACCAACTGGGGTGTGGACCTTAATTAGTATAAAGATGCATGCTTTAACGTAATTAAGTGTTAAAAACCCAACCTTGGAAGGATATCTCCACGAAATGCATTTTCTGCATTCTGTCGTGAAATATCCGGATATGTGCCCGATGAATATCCGGATATGGGTTTTGAGTATCCGGATATCGGATTCTGGATATCCGGATATTGAATATCCGGATATGTCCAGTGAGATATCCGGATATTGCATATCCGGATATGGTCCCGAGGAATATCCGGATATTCTGGGATTTCGAAGAACAGTAGCTGTGCTGTGAGGACAGTAGGCTATTGGGGGTTTGGGGACCCTAGATTGATGAAGTTGAACTTCTGTTTTAATTAAACTAAGTCAGAATCGTTGTGATTAAGGACTTATGGCTTGGTATGGAGCCTTAAGACGTTAAACGTAAGGAAAGACGTTGTCTTTAAGTTTTATGCTTGTGTTGCATTTTTATTGATATAGTATTGGTCCATAACAGATTGCGAATCTGCTGTGTTTGGACTTTGAGTTGTGGACTCTTGGCTTTTGGAGTTAGCTTGCAAGGTAAGCTTTCGTGTCCTCAGCTTAGCCATGTTGTGGTTCTACCATGTCCCATGGGGGTATGGTTTATGCATGCTGTGTACATGCTTTTGGATATTTGATATGTTGATTGAACTTTACATGTAATGGCTTTTAATATGCATGTGTTGTTTCATCTTGATAGGAAGCCTGAGTATGTAGCGCCATACAAGGCGGTGTACCGGGGTGAATGCAAGTGGTACTTGCACGGTGTGTAGGTGATAGACGTATACCTGCACTGTCTCTGGCCAGTAGATTAGTATTGACACACATGGCATGATTAGCTGCTGCATTGTATTGTTTTAGAAATGATAAATGATAAATTGCTTTTGAACTTATATTGCACATGTAAGTGAGCTTGGGGTGGAAGATCCTTGAGGACTCACTGACTTACTGAGATTTCTAGATTAGATATCTTACCCCACGTTTGGGGAATGCTTATTTCAGGATCAGGTAGTATGGGTACTGATGCCTCAGGCGGCAGGAGGCCGGAGCTTAGCTGATTATGTTTACTGCTTATGTTAGCATGACTGGATTTGGATGCTGTTTATGTTTTTCGTTATTTATGATATGTTGTTGTTGAGACTGATGTTGGGCATGTTGCCTTATTTGAGTGAGCATGGGGATTGTCCATGACACTTTCTGTTAGTACTTGTAGTTTGGAGTTGTATAAACTGTTAGATGGTCTGGTCTACGTTGTTGTAGTTCCGTGACTAGAGCCACACTTATATTATCTATGTTATGAGGTATTTCAGTTAGCTGTTTTATTGCAATTACATACATGCGATGTTTCATTAATTGATTATTAAGCAAGTTGGTAATGTTAATGGCATCATAATTGAAAAGAAAAAGTAATTCCGCATTTTAATTAAGCGCAGCTTAATACGATATTATGATAACATTACCGGATATATACGGGATGTTACATTTATGGTATCAGAGCAATGGTTCGAGGGAAAAGTCTGTATGTATTGCAATAGCTAGGATGTTTTGTTGTGTCTGTCTTATGTGTTTACTCCGTCGAATTTTATCATGATAATGCATATGTGATCACATTGCGTGGGCCTGATCAACTCATAATTTGTGTAACTTGTGCAGAGTCATGGTAAAGTCCGGGAGAACACGAGAGACTTCTGAGGATCAATCTGATCCTATCCTGACTGCATTGGCTGAGATGCAGGCGGCTAGGTTAGCCGATCAGGAG